ATGCTCTGCAGTGAATGGGTGCCGTCAGAATGAGAGTCCAAACAGCTGATAAAATCATCGCAATAATCCACAAGTAATCCACAACATCCACAACACTCAATTTAATACTTTGTGAGGCAAAAAGCTGCATTTTAACTTTAAACCTGGACCACTGGAACCACTGGAGTGATGGATTATGGACTTGTACTGGAGTAGTGTGGATTACTTGTGAATTATTGTGATGTTTGGACTCTCATTCTGACGGCACCCATTCACTGCAATGGATTCGGTGCTTCTGTATCCAAGTCAACTTGGATTGTCGAGCTATTTAAATCCAGAGAAGGTGGATCTGATTTATTGATTTTACATTGAAAATCGCCTGATTGAAAAGATTCTCGCTGTATGTTGAAAGTGACAACCATCTAAGTATTTTTTAAACAAAATATATATTTGATTTGCAGCATATTAACAACGCACGGCTTGCCTACCTCGGTCAACGGGAAGCTGTTTGAGGTCTTGCATTTAACATATAAGATCAGTATAAGAACTCTTTCATCTGAAATATAGTAAATAAAAAAGAAGAATATCTTGTTGATGACTTAAGGTATACCTTTGAGACAGGTCTGTACTCTGCTTGTGTCAGCACAATACAACTGAGTCACTTGACTGAGTTTTCATCGCCCTCTGCAGGTTAAAAGACGAATACATGCAGGTTCAAATATCTTCATTTGCCTTCAATATTATTTGCTGTACAGATGTAGTAACTTTTATATTTTTGTTTGTGCTAAAAAATAATAAAAGTGTCTAAAGGGATGCCAGTGGAATTCCTGTGATAATTTGGAACCAATCCAAACAAAAATAAAACAATTAAATAATACGACACTACTCATTTGATTTGTTTGACAGTTCTAATTTTGAGCCCTTAACTGTAGGCTATGTAACTTGCGCCAATCAAAGTTTAGATCTAAAGCTGTGATTTACCGCCATTCTTTAAAAGTGTGTGCGCGCGCGTCTGGCGTCTCTATAGCAACTGCTCAAACACTGATACATTGTAACAAACGTTTATACGGTGGAGACATTTTTAAAGTTCTTTTGTGTTTTCTTAATTTTTTCTATCCTTTGAACGCGCTGTATGTAGACTGCTCTACACGCAACTAATACACAACTGCAAGGACGGAACGACTCGGTGATTTTTTACGATAAAACTGGGATTGTGACTTGAAGATGTCACAGACATGTAGATTCGGCTCGTCAGTGAAAGTAGAGCAGCTGGAAGAAGAACTGTCTGCTCAGATTCAGGCTCTGAAAACTGAGATTGAGGACAATGAGATTTTACACCAAATATCATCAAAACCATACAGGTGCGATAGCTGATAGTGTTCTTAACTTTTATAACTTGAATAAATTTCATTAACCATCATTATTAAATGAATTATTTAATGCTTAACATTAGTTAATGTACATTTACATATTTAAAAATGTCATGGAACTTGATTCATTCGTATTTTGATATATACATATCACAATATGCGTTTTATGTGGAAGGAAAATTTTTGATAGTGACTTGTGTCATGTTTTCATAATGAATTATTCAAAAGTGTTTTCCCTCCTGATGTATCCAATAGACCAGAATATTATTTAAGGAATAGTTCACCCAAAAATCTAAATTTTCAGAAAATTCATTCACCCTCAGGCCATTCAAGATGCAGATGAGTTTGTTTCTTCATCAGAACAGATTTGAAAAAATGTAGCATTACATCACTTGCTCACCAATGGATGCTCTGCAGTGAATGGGTGCCGTCAGAATGAGAGTCCAAACAGCTGATAAAATCATCGCAATAATCCACAAGTAATCCACAACACTCCAGTCCATCAATTTAATACTTTGTGAGGCAAAAAGCTGCATTTTAACTTTAAACCTGGACCACTGGAGAAAGAAATATGATGGATTATGGACTTGTACTGGAGTAGTGTGGATTACTTGTGAATTATTGTGATGTTTGGACTCTCATTCTGACGGCACCCATTCACTGCAATGGATCCATCGGTGAGCAAGAGGTTAAATTTCTTCAAATCTGTTCTGTTCTGGTTTGGATGGCTTGAGGATGAGTACATTTTTAGCAAATTTTTGGGTGAACTATTTTTTAATGATCTGCTCTTTCCAACTTTTTCAGCTCTGTCCATATTCCAAAAGATGTGGCTTACTTTCGTATGGAGAGGCAGCAGGTGCTCCTCAAAGCACTGCAAGTGAGTTTTGACAGATATTTCAGTTCTTATTCAGGTTTTTAATATCCTGCATGTGCCTGCAGCTGTTTATTTGACATTTCTTGTTGTCTTTGTTGTAAATGACCTGTGACTTTAGGTTTCGTCCACAAAGCCTGTTGTGTCTCAAGCAGAAGTTGCTCAGAGAGAGATGGAGAGCTGTCTGACCCAAGAGTACACACCTGATAGTCTGGCCATACTGCTGCATCAGGTTCCTTATGAGCTGTTTTATTGTGTTCACACAAATATAATCTTGTGTGAAAACATTTCAGATCATTTTGACTCCATTCTCAACAGTTTTACACAGATCAAACGTATAAACTGGCACAGTGCAAATACCAGCTGATGCTGAGATGGAGGAGATTCGGCCACCATTCCACTGTCCTGGAGAAACTATATCCTCAATATAAAGTATCTAAATTCTGCATTTTACAATATTTTCATGCATTCATAGGCAAAATGAATCCTTTCATCATGTCCATTTTGCTCTGTTTAGAAACAGATCACACATTTAACCAATGAATTTGAGGATTCTGTGCATCGGGCACGTCGTCTTGCCGTGTCCAGAGAGAAGGTCCTGGTGGGTGTGGAGAGCCCAGTCGGTGTGGTCACACAGGAAGACGTCATCATTTACCTACAGTGGCTCATTTGCCATCTGCACTCTGTCAAAAGCATCCACAACTTTCTGCATGTGAGAATACATAAGAATCTAACCAAATATTCAAGACTGGAGGAGAACAAATGTAAAAGTTTAAGATTTCTGAATTCTTTAATTATAAATTCTGGTAGGGAGGACAGTTGTCATCTAACAACTAATGATGATTATAAGAAAAGGTGGTTTTAATTTTTATCATATGCTGGTTGTAGGTTCTTCATTATCTCCCTTCTACTCAGTGGAATGAGGATCAGATGTCCAGTGCTGTAGATTTGACATCTCCTGCATATTTTGATGGTAAAGAACCCGTTTTTTTGATGCTGTATTTTAGTTGAAAATTCTGTCATTAATTACTCACCCTCATGTCGTTCCAAACCCGTAAGACCTTCGTTCATCTTCAGAACACAAATGAAGATATTTTTGATGAAATCCGATCGCAAAATTAAAGTCAGACCGTTCTGTTTTTGCTTCAAATTTAGAAATTATACAATCTAATTTAGATTAAAAATGCTCATGCTGCATGTATGCACCATCTTTGTTTGGACTGTGATTAAAATGCAGTGGTTGCCTCTAATTTTAAATGGAAAGAGCACAGGCAAAGCCTTAGTTTGTTTATATGAAGTTATTTCTTTTATTTGTGTTATTTATTTATTTGATTTGGGTTTGTTTTAAAATTTCAATTTAGTTTTGTTATTTGACATATTTCATTTTCACAAAGAAACATGCTGCATTTTGTCCCAGCAATAATAAAAGGACACTTTTTCATTTATAATTTGTCTTAAAGGCACAATATGTAATTTTCGTCGCTAGAGGGCGCGTATTCAAAATAAACAAAGAAGCAAAGGCGTAGTTTGATGACGCTGTGACTGAGTGTGGAATCATGGGAGTTGTCGTCTTCATCCCCACAGCCGATGCAATCCGACGGGACTCGGGCAGAAATCATGTTCATGGATGAGCTAATGATTTATTAACGTAGTAGAATGAAGCAGGGTGAGGCTGAAAGCC